TAGCCCAGAGTGATGGTACAGTGCAATTGGTCTTAGCACAGCTTTGTGGTGAGAAGGCTGAGCACAAGCAGGCATAAGGACGTTACACATTAGGCTGTGTAATTAGTCCTGAAGCTCTTAGATATCCATTCCTTCGGTACCTGCTCTCTTTTGCCAGTGTAGAAAGTCATGCAGAACAGAAATATAATGGAGCATGGCTGTATTTTTTCCATATTGTTTGTACTACTTTTAATAGGTGACAACAATGGTATTGGATTCCCTTCTGTGAGTACAGTGGATGGTTTCCTGTATACTGCAGGTTTCTTGCAAAGATGGTGCTTGTGCTTCAACTTGATTAATACATCCAGAAAATGATCACCAGAGTCTCACTGTGAAAAGACTTGTGAGAGTAGTGAGATATCTTCTTGATAGAAATAAATATTTTCTTGCTTGTGTTTGTTGTTTAAAACATAAATACAAATTCTGACATTTATTTAGAATATATATTTTGCCTCTAAGGTACCACATTTCAGTATCACAGTAGACACATGATCTTTTGTAAAATAGTACGTGATGTAAACTGATTTTATGGTGTGAAAGAGGAAACCCTTAATCTGTGAAGCTTGTAATACAGTTGGACTCTAAGAGGCTTAATCCTAAAAGAAGCTTTTTATTTACTGCACTCAGCATGTAGATGGATAGACTGTGAAGAGAGTCACCATTATGTGTACACTGAAATTATTGTCTCATAAGAATTTCAGTTCTAGACATAGGGTTCAGAATAGACTTTAGGAAGTGAACTTCATGGATTTCTCTGAGTTACTCTGTGAGTTACTATTTCAGTTCATAATATGAAAAATTATAATTCTAAGGCAAAAGTTGTTGAAGAGCATAGTGCTGCCTCTCAGGCTGAAATTTTCTGGATTGCAGATTTCTGGTCTTTACTATGAAACTGGACTCCGTCCTTCATACAGACCTTGGACATTGACTGATTTATGTAGTCTTGAAACTCAACCCCTTTTTTTTTTTTTTTTTTTTTTTTTTTTTTTTCTTTTTCTTTCTGATAGTGTTAAGATTTTAAAGTCATTATTCCATTATAGCCCAAAATATTTGCCATTTTGGCCTTAGTATTTGTAATACTTCCCTTAGTTCTTAGATTACAGATTAGAGTTTAGATGTAAAAAGTGAAAAGCCAAGAAAATGTCCCATCTCTCTTTGAGGTTCTGATAGAATTGCATTTCACAGAATAATAAATGGCCTGCCTTGGGAGGAACCTAAAGATGATCTAGTTTCACCCCACTGTGACCATGGGCAGGGACACCTGCCACTAGAGCAGGTTGCTCAAAGCCCCATCCAATCTGGCTTTGAACACTGCTAGGGGTGGGGCATCCACATGTTCTCTGGGCAACCTGTTCCAGTGCCTCAACACCCTCACAGTAAAGAATTTCATCATAATACATGATTCAAATCTCCCTCTTTCAGTTTGAAGTCATTGTCCCTCGTCCTGTCACTACCTGCCCTTGTAAAAATGCCATTCTTTCTTCATGCATTGATCTTCGAACTCTGGTTTGCTGATAGAGTCATGTGTGTATACAGAAGAAGTTGGTTGTTCTCATAGTAACCAAATCTTTTCACTAAATAATTTGGGTTGAATAATTTTTAATAATTTTTTTTTTGCTCTTATCCAAAGATACTTGGACTACAGAAGTCTGGAAGTATTAAATTGACATGAATCCAAACCAAAACACCAGCGAGAGAAATTTCACCCAGGTTTCTATCTTGGGAAGGTCTGCTTTCTTGTCTCAAAAGTTAATGTTCAACATTCTCTTATATTTGAATAAACAAATCCTTTAGGCTAGGAAAATTAAAAGAATGTTTCTCAATTATTCAAAGATTCTGTTAAGTTTAACAGAAAATGATACCAGACTTCTTTTGAGCTGGAGTCCACTGATAAGCACAACTTTTGTTTTTAAATTTATTTCATCAAAAATTTCACAAGTATACTTAAAAAATGGAGCAGGTTTTGAGGATATTGTAGACCCAAATTCTATAGGTAAGTATGTTTTGGTAACAGCAATCTACTGAATATTTTAAGGCAAAATCATAGTCATTTTGAGGTGTTAGTTAAGATCTAAGACTTGATTTGTTGGATTTAGTTTTCCAAGAAATATGTGGACAGAGACTGTAAAGGTTTAATTAGAAAATAAAATAAATTTACCATAAATTTACCATGAAAATACTTTACGGTATTTTATTTAAAATGTGTATCACAGTATGGCAATTTCTAGGGATCTCTTTTGGAAGAAGAAAAGAATAGGAAAATAACCTCAAAGAAAATGAAGAATAATACTGTTCATGTATTGGTCCTACTAAAGTCAATAGCAGAACCTGCATGACATAGAGGAGCAGGTTTTGATGTAGTCTGTGACTAATGCAGTGAACTTAAATGGAATTATGTTTTAAAATAATCAGTATTTCATTTTTTTAAACAAGAAAATAAAAGGTAGTGATACAGTAAGAAGTTAATAATTAGTGAAATTCCTGTAATTCTTATGTCTTAAAAGTCAGCAGCAGGAGTTGGACTTGAGGATATTAAAGGTCCTTTTAAAGTTAGATAATTCTATGAGCACTTAACAGGTGTAGACTTTTTAAAGTAACAGTAATGTGAATTGAAATTTTTGTGACAGATTAAAGTTTTTGACTCTTTTTTGAGTTACTAATATAGTTCTAAAGCTTGTGTTTCACATGGAGCTCTTTTTTTACATGTAGCTGAGAAATCAGTAAGATGTGTGTGTCAAGTTGTTAGGTGTATTTCTCTTTTGTAAAAAGAAAGAGTAAAGTTCAAGTAATAAAATCAATTCCAGAAACTGAGTATAACTACATTTTCCTTATCTACTGACACTATTTCTGTCTTCTCAGTTTTGTTGGATTTTTTTTCATTTTTATATAGTGCTCAGGTTTTGTTCAAACAAACATGAAGTCCAGCTTTTTTAATGTATTCTTTTGATTGCATGGCTTGTCTACTCCTCATTTTCTTTTTTTCCCCCTGTGTGTTAATGAGCTAATGGTTATAAACACGCATTTTACTGATCATAGGTGGTAATGACATCTGTTTGCAATTACATATGGCCTAAACTATGCAAAATGAGGAACAGAATGTATTTAAGGAACAGTCAGCAAAAGCGCAGGGAACTTTTACTGTCTGACAAATTTCTTATACTTATTTAATATACTGCTGTATGAGGAGTTGAGGTTTCTCTATTAAAAAAAGTGCTCAATATCTTTAATTTGTAAATTATTTGTTGAAATAATGAGTTTATCTTAGGCTTTATGAAAAGCGTATTCTGCATCAATAACATGGCTATGCCCATTTGTCTGTTTCTGACAAATACTAAGCTTGCTAAGGTGTATGCTTGATTGATTTTAATCAACTTTGGACCACTTGACTTCTTGATTGGCATGAATTTGGAGATTTATTTACTTAACCTTTATTTTACACTGCTTTTTGTAATTGTTGTCAGTATACCTGACTTTTTTTATTTGGGGAGTACCAGTATTTGAGATCACAGTGCCATGTGCAAATTGTACCAAATTTTATCTTCTCTATTGAAATGAGTATTTGTGTTAAGAATATGCGCAAACAGTTTCAATCAAGTGATATTGTCAGGATCTTGTTAATAAGGGATAAAATAAAACTTCTAGTTAATCTTAAGAATGTGGATCAAGTTTGTTGATTGAAGACTTTACTGCTTGCCAGCTGCTCGTCATTGCTGTCAGAACACAACTGGCAGTAGAGTTTCATGAGTTTCCCCTCATCAATGCAGTCCAAGGTCAGCTCAAGCCACTTCCACTGACTTTTAAACTGCCCACCCCTTTTAGTTATGCAGTCAGTTAGGGAGGCTGTTTACATCATTTCTTCTCCAGCAATGGCACTGAGGTGTTAACCTCCAGCTACCTGGATGCACTGACCATGTGGGAATTATGTCATCTTTGTCTGGCACAGTTGTTAGAAGATGAATATCTGTCCCCAGCCTTATGGCACTGAGGATAAGTTTTGAGCTAAAGCATTTTACTTTGTGATTGCCATAAGGTGACTCAACAAGCATATTGCTGCTGCTTACACTAAGCAAAGTTAGTTTTGCTTGGTGGTTACAGAGTGGAGTGTGATCACACCAGGTAATGAAAACGCAGCTGACAAGGAGTCAGTTGTCAAGCCATGGTAACTTAAAAACTCTGGTCATGCATACACGAGTCTGCTACTGGATACCAGGGATATAACTTACAGGAGCTGCTACCAGTGAAATGTGTCCTCTCTGAAGAGGTTTGGTAGCTAGGTAAGTTGATCAGTGTGCGGCAGCCTTGTATTGTGCCAAGAAATTGCTGCACATGGATTGATATCTAGGAAAGGTCCTGGAATTCAATGGTTTAACAAAATAAAGTACTAACCTTGAGCAACACTGTGAGCTAGAATCTATTTTTTTTATGTCTTCAGTTTGACCATAACACTTGTGCTGTCTTAGGATGTTATGGCTACGAGTTGTAGATTTACAGTAAAAAAGCACTTTTCTGAGGCAGTTCTTAACTAACAATGTGTTTAGTTCCAGAATATGCAGTTAAGGTTTTTTTGTTAGGCCATTGATACTTGCAACTTGAAGTTTCACTAGAAACAAGTCCAGAAGGTGCAATATTTTGTCAAGAAATTTAATAGCATGTGACATACAAAATACTGTCTAATAAGTAGAATAAGTTACTGCAGAAGAAATGTCTATGTAAGAAAACCATTGTTAAGAATGTAAATTTAGATTTAGAAAATGTGGTGGTCAAAAAATGTTTCCTTAATATTTTGAGATCTGGTTTTGATTACAGATTCATGAGTCATTTATGAGAGCAGAATTATTTGCAGCTTTTACATGTTTCTGTAATATTGTTAATATGTTTCTCTAGGCAGTTTTATGTAAATGATGTGTTATGCATCTGATTTTTTGTTAGCAGCGTGATATACCTGCACTATCATTTTCTAGGTATTTCAACAGCCTATAAGTGAGCTAGAGAGCTATATTACAGTGCAAGAATCAGAAATGGAGCTTTTACAGAAAAAATTGAAGGAAGTGGATCTTAACCTAGCAGAGCATAATTTGTACACTACAGATACTCTGGAAAGCAACAATATAAGGACTGGAAGAAAGCACAAGGTAGGGTAGTTTTATTGTCTGGTGTATTTGTGTGTAAGTCAGGCTGGTGAAGCCAAACGTTTTTGCTCAAGGGCCCAGATAATAATTTTAATATCTGTTGACGCTGCTTATAATTCTGGAAGCTTGTTTGAATAGTTCCTGTGTTATCTGCCAAAGACTTGTTAAAATAGCTGTTGGGAGTAGAAGGTTTTACCTTATTAAATACTGAATAAGGGATTCTTAATTAAATGAACTATTTGCAGGATAAACTCTTTGTAGGTTTGCTAAAATGAATATTTATCAGATATTTTGGGTGTTTATTAGAATGACCATCTTTCACTGTAAGTGAAGTGAGAGAAATAGAAATGGTTATTATTATGACTTTTAAATGAAAAATATTTTTTCCCAAATTCTTGACTTTTAGAGTGGAATGCAGTATTTTTTTCTAGGAAGAAGGACAACAATGTCATTTGAAGTTTATACTTTCAGCTTTGTAGAGTGCTGAATTGCCTCTTTTGTGGAGTCTCACTCTTTGATTTAGGTATTAAATAAAAATAACAAAACCTATGAGCTGTAGTAAAAGAGTGACATCTGTAAATAATTCCATTATTTAAATGGATCTATTAAATTCGCTGAAATCATGTTGCTTTTCATTGTGTTCAGACTCTTTCTCATCTATTTTTTATAGTGATTGCATGGAGTATGGGAAACTGTTAACAAGGTTGCAAAGGTGAATGTGATTCTGAGTGGTATAAATAATGGACGAGGGTGGACCCTCATGTCCACTTCCTCTGAAATCTTCTAATTTATCCGAATATGGTATCTCATAACATTTTCTTTAAAAAATGTGTAGCTTGTTCTTTTGTAATGATCTATACTGTATGTTAGTTTTGGGAAAAGATACACTTTAGAACATTTCTTCAGGAGCATGTGGTGGGCATTTCTGTGAAAATGTGCTTAAGAAAAAACAAAATGCTACACAGGCAGTATAGACTGAAGAACAGAAGGTAAGAAGCAGCCTGGAAAACGTGGACGTTAGGAAGGAAGAGAGGAAGGAGTTGCTTCATGTGCTGGAAACAGGTATTTCTCTGCAGCCCAGGGAGAGAGAGGATCGCTGTGGAGCAGATGTCAATAATATAGCTTGTGGAGGAGCCCAGAGCCAGTGGAAATTTGCTCATGGAAGCCACAGCTTGTGGAGAGGAGTAGATGCTGGGTCTCTTACATGAATTATGGTCCACGGAGGACCCGCTGTGGAATAGGTTTATCCTGAAGGACTCCAGCCTGTGAAGAGACTGTGTGTGGGAGTGAGAGAAAAGTGTGAGGAGGAAGGAATGGCCCAATGGGAGCTGTTAAGCATTGATTGTGCACCTTCTGCCTGCATGGCTCAGCAGGTGATAAAAGAGTCAGGAGCAATGGAATGAAGTTATGCCTGGGAAGCTGTGAGCTTCTTTTGGGTACGGAAGACGGTGTTAATTATTTTTTCTTCTTTATTTCTTACAACCTAAGTATATTCTAAGTGGCAATAACTGAAATAGATTTTCTTCACGTTGAGTCAGCCCATGATGCTGAGTGGTAAACAGACAAGCTTTATAATCCTGTTTTCTCCTGTCCATTGGGGAAGAAAACTGGTAGAGCACTTGAGTGGGTGTTTGACCCTTTGCCAAGGTTAGCCCCCCACAGGGTCTTTTTCTGTTTCTTCAGGGGAAAGTAAATGAGATTGCTGTGTTCGTCGTGAACTGTGTCAAAATAAAGCAATTACACTGCCTTGAGTAAAACTAAATACAAATTTTAAAGCCTATTGTAGAAAATCTCTTCCTGTTTTGATATATAGGTCTGAGTCATGCTCTTTCAATAGGCAAAGCTGTTTCATATGTCCACTTTTTCACAAGAGCACACAACTCTCTATTAAAACTTTTGGGAACTCAATTGATGAGCTCCTTTGTACGAAGGCAACACAGTAAGTGAAATTGTGGAAATACTCTGGATTTTCTAAAATGGAGAAGGTAGTATTGCTGTGGTAGTGCTTTACCCTTTATCCTTTTTCCTTTTCAGTGAAATATCTTCTCATTCCCTTGTTTTTCAACCTTTTATGACAAAATTATTACTGTCAGAAGTCATTAGCACATGATTTGACAGGAAGAGCATGTAAGGTATTCACTGTTTGTTTTAAAAAGATGATCCTTTTGACTTTACAAAGACTGTTGGGCTGCCCTTCATTCCCCCTTATGTACATTCCTAGGATACAAAGAACGAGGATGGAATCACTTCTGATGAGAATGACACTGCTTTGATGACTTACTGCTCTAAAAAGGTTTCAAAGGCTTTTAGAAGGAATAGTTGGAAAGGTGTTGAAAAGAAGAGCATGGTAGAAACAGAAACTTGGTGCTACTGCAATAAATTGAGATGTGTGGCCACACGACTGCATGCTTCCGGCTGTGTTTATACATGCAACAGCATAGATACATCTATAGCCTTGTGTTGGTTTCTTTGCGAATTGCAGAAATCTACATCCCTTGCCTACAGTTGTACTGAGTAATAGAAACAGCTTTCTTTGAGAGGTGTTTAAAAGCTTTCTTAAATGTGGTTGTGATGTCCTATTTCATGATATTGCTAATTGTGTATTTAGAGGCAGTAACAATCATAGTTCTGTTTATATGAAAAGTGGTGTAGCTGAGTGCTGTTGTGTATGAAGACTTAGGAGTCAGTGCTTGACCTTCCTATAGCTCTTTTTGGAGCTTAAACTTCGTGAGCAATATATGATTTCTGTTGGCTGATTAAACTGCCATTCATATGTCTGCTGGCTAATTCAATATGCTTTTGTGGTTTTCTTGTAGCTAAGCTTTCCCATGGTATGGTGCATGAGAGTTAGAATTGCCTTTTATTCATGTACATTCTATATCATTCTTCTAGGTCTGTAGTGTCAGGATACTGAAAGACGTGTTAAGTACTTGCAGTACTAGTAAAGTTCCTGTTGAAACATAGCAAATAAAGAATTTACCATTTTTCTTTCTAAAAACCCCCACCTCTATCTGGTCAGTCTTGGGTTCAGCCTCAACTATGTTTCTGTTTCTTCAGTTGATAAAGACATTAAGATTGCTGCCCACTGTCCTCAGAGCTGTATCTTGGCAGTCATTGATATCAAGCCTGTACAGAAAAAGTACTCCTAAGACATTTCAGGAGGAGTTCTGACTTCCCTACTTTGGTTTGGGTTTTTTGGTTGGTGGTTTTTTGGGGTTTTTTTGTTTTGTTTTCTTTTTTTGGTTGGTTGTTTTGGGGTTTTGCTTGTTTGGCTTGTTTTGGCACTTTATTCAGCACGAAACCTATTGAATTCAAGAACGTGGCTATTTGCAGTTTCATCCCATAGTGTCTTTCATTGTGCAGACCGTTAATAGCAGGTTGTCTAGAAATAGGCATATTTTCTTTTTCTGCTTGTGTGTGTCTCCATTATCAGTTAATGTGTGTCCCATCCACTTACCTGCTATTTCTTTATGCTAAATCTTCTGTCACAAAGTTTCATATATATTATATATTAGAAACTCTGTTTATTTCTGGTTTTCTGCTATTTGGTTTAGTCTTCAGTAAAAATGCTTAAGGAACATTCAATGAAAAATATTCTGATCTGGATTCCTTTACTGACTTGGATTAGCAATCTTCACTGATAAGATTGGAGGGGTTTTTTGCTCCTAAACATGCAGAAAATTTTTGAAACATTACATTTTGAAACATTGTATACATTTCTGTGTATATTTAATAGAGGTATGTTAAAATTTTTCTGTAGAATTTGAGGACTGAATTAAAAAATTAATGTTTATATTTGACAGCAGCAAGAGCAGTAAAGTTTGCACTTGTGAGAAGATTTTTACAGATGCTGTCTTTCAAACTGAGTTTTGCAGCAGCCCCAGGCAATCCAATGACAGTGTATTTTACACAGTCTCCTTTGTCTTGATAGAACTCATTACCTCCTTAGCAAAGATTGAGTGCAAACTACCTGTGTGCAACTGTAAAGCCCAGATCCAGCACCCTTTCTCCACAGACTTTATTCTGATCACTAAAAAGGTGAAAGTAATAGAATGTTCTTAATACATATCACCAATCCCATCCGTTGTCACAGGGAATCATTTCAGTATCCATAAGTAGTTAAAAGTTTTCTCATTTTTTCATATTCCTTGGCTCTAGCACATTCCCAAATAACTCTGTATGTGTGTATAATACATAGATATCTATCTATACGTATGTATATATATATATAAAAAGTCTTAGATACTCATTGTATCTGATCAGCTGTGACTAGACTAGCAAGACAGTGAATTTTATGTTTTTCTGTATTTTTCTTCTCTTTTCTCTGTTCCTTCTCAGGTTTTCGCTACCTATTAATTCTTAAAAGTCTGGTACTGGTTGGTCCACTCCTTTTCCTTTGTTGTCCTTCACTTCAGCAGCAAGCAGAGTGCTTTGACCTTCTATTTCTGACTTCAGAGAAACTGGGTATATTCCAGATTTTCTCTATAACAGCATAAAGTTTACCTAGAAAATAATTGTTGAAAAATAATGCATAGTACAGTCATGCATATAATATAACTGTATATAATGATTCAGGAATGTAGAAGACGGGTTGGGTTTTGGTTGCTTTTTTTTTAAAGCTCTTCATTTTATTTACAAAATCTGTGACTTTGAAGTTGATGATATTTTTTAGTATTTGGATTTTAAATGCACTAAAATTCTTTCCAGATGTTAGTTCTGGTTTNTTTGGTTTGGTTTATTCTTGGGGTTTTTTTTATTTTTTTGGTTTTGGATTGTTTTGGTTTTTGGGTTGTTATGTTTTTTGGTTTGGGGTTGTTGCTTTTTTTGTTTGGATTGGTTTTAGTTTTGGTTGGGGTTTTTTTTATGAGGGTGTAACACTTTTTCGAAAACAAATTTTGCTTTGTTGTTTGTTGGACTTTCTCATGTCTCTTTCAGGTATCTGTCATAAGCAAAAAAGAATCCTGAAATCAAATGGCGAAACCACATTGGAAATATTTACATTCATAAATATAAATATAAATATAAATATAAATATAAATATAAATATAAATATAAATATAAATATAAATATAAATATAAATATGAGATGCTGCTGTTCTCTGATATTTCGTGATGGATTTTTTTTTCTTCTTTTTGGAAATCCATACTATTTAAAATGAAAATGTGGTATATGATATCGTATAAATATTTCATGCTTTAACATAGTGGTCAAAGATAAGAATGTCAGTTACTAATTAAGATACTCTTCAAGATTAAATTAATTTAACGGACTAGTGAAATATTGATATCTACAGCATTAAAGAAGAATTTATCCCTTTTATTATATATCAGTGTTTTCCCAGAGAAAGTGGCATAATGCAACAAGAATAATCACAATTTACCTTAAGTTTCTGTTTGACTTTTTGTGTTGGCACAACAGTATTTTGCCTGATTGGCATTAAGTGTGCGTTGGTATTTCACTCTCTTTCATTCTTAACCAAAGTTATTCCAAAAATCTGAAAGTCTAATTTTATGAGGCCTTTCTTTCTCTGCCATAAGGACATATGACATAGAGTGAACAAGAAAGCTGCCCAGTTTAAGTGTTACTTTCACATACTCTTTCTCCAGATTGCTGTATGAAGCTGTACATAATATAAACACATATTCTTGTCTCTAGTTAGTCACATTATAGTTAATGACCATATGGTCATTATGGTATAAGATCTACTGTCTGTTGTATTTATATTCCTCAAGCATATTGTTCCTTCAACTTCACAGTGTGTTAAACTATTTCAAAGGGAAAAAAATCCTTTCCCTCTTGTTTCTGGTTGTCCTATCAAGTGTAACCTTGGACCCTTATAGAGCAATTAGACCAGCCTCTATCCCCTCCTTTGTAATGAGGTTTCTTGCATTTCTGAGTCTATAACCCTTTAGTCTTCCCTAATGGGACATCATTATTCTGAAAGAAACAATGTAAATGTAAATGAATATTCTCATTAACGAGTCACAGAGAAACCTTTAGTGGTAGCGCTGTGGTAATTCTGCTTGTTATTTCTCTGGTATTCCATGCAGATTTTTTTTTTTTTATAATTCATTATTAGTATTCAAAATTACTTCTTCTTTAATTCTGCATGTCTTTCATAATCCGGCGTTCCAACTAGTTCAACCATGTCCTTGTTTTATTCTCCAGGAACCACCTGTGAAATGTTCAAGGTCTCTGTCCCCAAAGAGCTCTTTTAGAGAGTCAGAGGAACTAAAGAAGCTTAAAATAGCTGAAAGGAAGATTGAAAACTTAGAGAAGACACTACAGCTAAGGGTGAACATTAAAATAAATAAAAAGCCTGCTAGCTATAAGCTTGCATAGATAAAGATATACCAAAACAAACAGACATTTTAAAAATTAAAAATACACATACTTTTATGGACTGTAAGTCTCTTTGGATCAGAGAGTACTCTCCATTAGTTTACCTTTTTGCTTTACAGTGTGAGTAATCTTGTAGTCCTGTGGAAGCTTAATTGAGCTGTCATCAGTAACACATACTTGTTAAATACATTTTCAAAGTTTGTCTTTAAGTATATATATTCTGAGAAATTAATGTGTTCATATGAAGCAAATCAGAAAGTAGAACCACTGAAAGTACAAAGACTTCTTTTCTGTACAATAAAGCCACACTTTAAAATGCTGAAGTCAGTAACTTAAAAAAGATTGACCCCTGGAAACTGTTTAAGTTATGCGTCATTTAGTTGCTGGTCTGAAAGATCCTGGCCTACAAGATGTTTGAAAAAACAACAACAGTCCTGCTTTGTAGAAAATCTTAATTGAGCTTGCTTCACAATTGCTCATTTTGTCCCTGTTTCACATATTTTTGTAGCTGTGTTTTGTTGGTTTGGTATTTTGCTGCAGAGATACAGTAACTGTTGAACAAACTATTGGTTTAAAATTGCACCTCTGAATGCAAAATGCAAACGCTGAGTCATATTTTCTTAAACACTTAAAAATCATCCTCTTCTTTCCTCTCCTCCCTTTTCTCCCTCACCTTCTCTTTTTTGTGTTGCTTATCGTTGTTCAGTTATGGAATATGAAGGATATTTTCAAGTATGTGTAGCCTAAAGGGGAATTGGTTGTATTGAACATCCTGTAATAAAAGTTATGCAAGTGAAAAAATTTGGAAGCTCTACCAACCATAGTGATAAGTTAATTTTAGAAAAACTGTACGTGGGAAGTATATTTCAGCAAAATGCCACAGTTCATCCATCTGTATACTTGGGAGAATTTAAAGTTTTGTCTTAACACATGTAGAGTATATGAACAGAAGAGGTTATTTAGACTTCAAATTCAGTCTTCCAGGTTGTCTTGTTCCTGGGAGACAGAAAATTAATTTTGTTTTGTTTTTTCTCTGTGTTGAGAATTCTAAGGTATGACCCACCAGCTAAACCTGAGAACTGGCCTTTGGGAGGCTTCCTGTCCATTACTCTTACTTGGCCTGCCTGACACTGATGCTACGGATTATTCTGGAACTGTAGGCTGCAGCTGCTCTGCTCTTGGAAGCAAAACACACTTCAGTGTCTATGGCTATTGCCTTAAATGCTAGAGAGCTACACATTTCTTCTGGAAAGAAGAGTGAAGGAAAGCAGATGCAGAAGAAAAACAACTGTCTGTGCATAACCTCATGTAATAATTTGTACCATTCACCATACTGCCTTTGCTTATCTTCTGTTTAATCTTAAAGTATAATTTAAAAATCTGTGCAGCTTTATGATGTTACAGGTGTGGTATCTCTATCACAGACATCCATGATGTCTTTAAGGGCTAAATCTTCCCTTGAAAGTGAAAATCTACTTGGCTTCTTCTGCAGAATGCTGTACTGGGTTGAAAAGAAGCTGTAGAGGCCTAAGGCATCTTAATTAACACTGTTGTGGCACTAAATTCATATTTCAATGAGGCTGCTGTCGGCATGACAGTGAACTAAGCTGTCATAAAGTTAATATCAGAACATTTCTGTTGCTATTCTGTGATTTCTTAATGCTAGCCTTCTCTCAGACATTGTTTCCAGTAACGAAAAATGGATTTGACCCAGGTTTTCAAAACTGGTCCTTGCATTATTGCCTCTTCAAACAAACTGTTGTCAATATGGTTACTTGAAATTTTCTTCCTCAGAGAAATGGTTGCTCTGTCAATACACACACTAATAATCTCTGGAACATGAAATGGTGACTTTATACATTAGTACTTTCAAAAAATTGGTAACATTAAAAAAAAAAAGAAAAAAAGAACCGGCCTATTTTTGGGCTTTTCAGGAATGCCTCTGCCCCAGTCAGTGTAGCAAAGGAGCAGAAAAGGTAAACCATTCATACGTTTTTCCAGTTCTCTCAGCTGACTCATTTCTCAACAAGAAAAGTTCACTCTTAGTATCTTCATTGCTAGTATAAATGGGGTGATCATTTAAATTCAGAGTTTTTACACAGAATTGGCTTTGTTGCTGGGCATACTAAAAAGTAACAGAGCAAGTCTGATTGCACCCTTGGTTATGGAAGGGAACGTCAAAATAAATAAGAGTATTTTTTTTGCTTTTAAATAACAGATTATTAAGCTGCTATTTAGATTGATCCAAAGCATATGTACTTCAATCTATTATGGGTCTTTAAGAAGTGGGTAAGAGTTTGATTGTTGAGAAGTAGGTATTTGATACAAACTAAGAATACATTGATTTTCTCCTGTATTGCTTCTAGAGCTGTGATTGCTGATGTAACCTAGAGGAGATAATCCTGGCTTTAACTGGAAAGGTCTCAAAACCAAGAGGAGCTTTTCCCTTTGAGTTTTCTCATCCTTTTTAGGTTCTAAAATTTTTGGAGATAAATAAAACTAGAATATGCACACCAGTCTTTAGGGCCACCTTAATACTTGTTTGTGTCAGCAAGACCACACTCACATTTGCCTCATATTTCATACGTAGTCCTATTCCGTGTATAGTGTTCAAATGCTGAAAATGGATGAATATTGCATCATATCCACATAACTGTGTGTGGAAAAAGCTATTTTTCTAACAATTAGGGCCTCAGATCTTGTAAGCCTAAGCACAGTCAAATAATTGAATCAGTGTAGTTTTTTAAAATTTCCTTTTTACTGTAATAGCAATAACAATTTGAATTAGTGATTAGAATCTTTTGACTTGTCTGAGCAGCCTGCAAAAAGAAAAAAAGGCATAGGCAGTGGGGTTTTTCCTCCTGCAGATGGAACTTTGTGTTACTGTTATTCATTATTGCATGGGAAGTACTGTGGATGACAGTGGGCAGCTGGAGAATAATCTGGAGGTCCAGCACTGCTAGAGATGGTTGCTCTGTCCCATGTCCATGAATATAGACAAAACTGTGTGTGAGACAGTTTAGTTATGAAATATAACATAATTCAGACAGAGATTAATCTAACAGATTATGGAAATTCCAGTGAATATTTTAAGTCCTGAAGTGCTTAATTCAATAGAGAGATTGATTAGGGCAGTTAATTGTCTAATTTCTATTTCTGCAAGGGCAGAGCAAGTGATAAGGGAAGGCAATAACTGTAACAGAATGGATAATAGAACAGGTAAGCAATAATGAAAAATGCAAATTCATAAATAGGAAAGGCCAAATTCTACAGTTGGCTGCATCTCTGAAAGGGCATTGACACTAATAAGCTTCTGAGGATTTATATTGAAGACATTGTTTTCTAGTACCCTGCCAGACTTGACCAGTTTTTGCTAGCAGTATCAAACAATCTCAGAACAGTTGTTTCATGAACTTCTCATGAAAACACAATACATCTGTAATTGTATTCTTGTGAAAATCTCCTCTTGCAAAGCTTGTTAATGGTGTCTATGTTCTTAGTCTAAGATTTATATTGCTCTTTATGTTGTTGTTTTTAATATCATTGTAGTATTTACATGAGTCACTTAAAACCAGTTAAAATTACTTTTTTAACAATTCAAAATTTATAAATGTATTTGATTGAGAGGTTGTTTCAGGAAAAAGAAACCTACCACCGCCACTTTGGGAAAGTATGTAGTGGTAGGACTTTGAACTTGATTGTGTTTCTAAATCTTTTTTGGTTTCCTGAGTCACTTCCAGAAACCTACTGGAATTTTGTATATAGTACCATTTGAAACTTTAGGTGGTATCTTTCAACCTTGTGCATCATGAAAGCTGGGTTGCATTTGATAAGTCAAGCTTAGTATAGGTACTTTGTAATTATGAATACTGTGGAAACCCTTGCCATGTTTTTATAATGGGATTCAACTTTTATTGTAGCAGCTCTGACTATTGGTATGTCTAATTTATTGACTAATGCTGGAAAGTCCTCCTTACATATAAGCAGTGTAAATACTTGCAAATAAGGTATTCTGATTCATTTAGTTCTGTAGTTGCTCTACAAGCAGAGCTCCCATTGAACTGAAAACGAAGCCATGACTGCAGATTTTGCTACAGCATAATGAATTCTTTGCTGGTGAATTCTTTACTACTGTATGCCAGAGTCTGACTTGCATTTTGGTGTGAAATGCTTCTTCTTAGTGCGTGGTTTTTTTTTTTTGTGGTTTTTTTTTTTTTTTTTTCTTCCCAGAGCGCTGTATTGTCATTTAGGAAAGTCTGGTTTTAAGCTTACATGATGTTATCCTGTAATATAAATCAAGGTGTATTTTACTTTTTGTTCTGTACATTTTTTTGTATGGTTTTGATTATATAAAAGCTATTTAAAAAATTGTTTTTATTTCTTGTTTGCTGCATTCCTAGAGGAAAAAAGTCTGGGTGTTGCAGTTTTATATATATTTACAGAGACAACTTACTGTGTGAGGAAATCCTGAAGCCATTCAAATGTAAGGTTTTTTCATGTGGCCAGTATTTCCCTTGAAAATACATAGATCAGTTTTCCACTGGGAGAAAAAAAAAAGGAAAGAAAGTAGTTTGAATGAAAAAACAGTGCCAACAATCCTTTTTCTAGTCTATGTGTTTTAAAATATATTAGGCTTATGCATTCACCACATAAAAGCTGGCATTTTGGTAGTAAATTCTTAAACTTTCAGCAGCATGAAGATAATATTTAAGTGAATTGCCAAATCAGCAGAATTTTCCAAAGTAGTAATAAGAAAACTTTGACCTCAAGGACTGTGAGTCCTGATCTTTCTATTTAGATTTCTGAGTCTCACAGTAGTTGCTGAAAGAGAACTTTGGTTTCATGTGATCTGTGTAACATTCTTACATTTTGTCCAACTCTGATTTTGTTTTTCTGGTTTCATACAGTCTCAAGAATCTTATGAGCTAAGAGCAGCCTATGGAAAACACGAAGAAAGGCTGCAGATGTTACAGCCCAACTACAGAGTGCTAAAAGAGCAGTTAAAGCAGTGGGAAGAGGGCAATAGCAGGTAAGTTACATAGCTCATTAAAACATTTTCCTTACACATGAAATCTGAACAGAAGTATTACATAGGTATTCAAAAGAGAATGTGATTTGAAGGAAGAAGCTACTGTGTGGTGATCAAGACTGTCCTTTGTTACAGCAGAATACACAGCTTACCCCACGTGAGAAAAATTCTAGTTGAAACCAAGAGGAAATATATTGAGCTGACACCTTGACTTATTTTATTTAGGCTCTCATTGAGAGCCTGAGTACTGGACAAAGGTCAGCTAGGACTGCTTACTTATGTTTGTCTAATTCTTCACTCATTTATTTTGTTGACTGTATGTTTTTAATTTTCTGTAACACAGCAGTTGCTCATTATGTTTCAAATAGTTTTTAGAAATAGTTTTATTCATTAAAATATAGAAATAATACCCTCTCTAACATTTAGTGATTCATATATTAACTGAGGCTAAAATCTCCTTCCTTATAGCAGAAAAGTAAAATAATATGTGCATGAAAGCAGGGTGTTTTAATCTGTTAAATTATTTAAAAATAAATTATTTCTGATACTTTTACAAAAAATGCAGTAATATATCTTCATTAATGGAAAGAGGAAAGACTTTACCACATAAAATTTGCATAATGAACATTCTGTATATCGTTGTCCCTTAGGCTCTATACAGAACAGTGAAAATTTTATGCAGAAATTCTTCTTTTTTTAAGTCCTTAGCAGGCAGATATTTTGGTAAACAGCTGCAATTGGATGAATGAAAGCATTTCTTAGCAGTTCAGTTATCAAGTGCTGCTGTTTTTCAGGACCTGTTTCAAGAAAGTAATTTCCTTGTGGTTTTAGCAGGGCTTTAGCATGCACCTAACAGCTCAGTAAACACTTGTGTGTTTTACTAAAAATAATTATTTTTGCAGTTAGAACAATACTGACTAATCTTGACACTAACTTTATCTCTCTCTGAAGAACAAGAGAGTCACAGAAAATGCTGCAAAACTGGTAGCTGTTCAGAGTCTGGGGTGACATAAAGCATCCTTCTGTGAATGATAAACTGTTCTTTATATATAAGTAAAGCTATGGCCTATCTTAGTAGATTTGCATTGCTTTGAAATACTAGCATTTATGTAGGAGCAGTTTGTCTTTAAAAAAGGAAAAAAAAAAGGTGTGGATGGAAACAATGGTGAAGTACAAAATTGCTACAGGCATCAGTGGTAGCACAGGAACATTTTTTGAAATACATAAGCATAATGGCAAATATATTTGGGTAAATTATCATGAAAAGGTTTTGTTTTTTTAGGAAAAATGTGGATTTTTTTTTTCTTTTAGTTCACTATTTTAAATTTAGTGCAATCTGGAAGTGACTTAAGGATGATAGTTACTAAATTCAGTGAAATTATTTAATTCTGTGTCTATACCTAGACAGGCTTTCCTGTCCACTGAGAGTCCAAGGCTAACAAGATAAAAAAAATTGAACTAGATAAAGACATTAAAATCTAAAACTTATATATACAGTGAAGCACTGGGTGTTCTGGTTCTGGTAGTTAAAAAAAATTAAACAGAAAAGGGAAGGAGGGACAAAAGTGACTTCTGTTTAAAGTAAATGAGATGAGCTTGTGTTATAATGAATGTATTTAGCGAGAATATAATTCTCAGTCTTCACTTAGTCATCTAATTTTTTCATCTCTATTTAAGATGAGCTGAAAACAACAGGGTTTCAATAATCTTTGTTACCAAGTTAGATTTGTATGAAGCCACATTAAAGGAGGTTTGGTTTTCATTTTTAATACACTTAAACAAAGAAAGTAGATAAGACACAAATAAAAGCAGTCTGTAACAATAAGACTGTTATTTTGGTATCTCAAAAAGCTGTATAGTGCTGCTGTAATGTAAATTGTGCATTAAGAACTCAGTATCAGGTGCTTATGTGGCATTTCTGATCCTTTGTAAGTGATGGAGGACCCCATTCTCCATATTCTTCATAGATTAATATCTGTTATTGAAATGGCAGCTGATGGGACCTAATCCACCTGTCAGCGTACATACCACTTGCACTGATGTACGTGACTGCAAAGATGATGCGGGCCTTAGGAGGTTACCACATTGTCTGAGAGTTTATTTCTATGCCCAGTAGGAATTTGGATTGCAGAGTTTAAATTGATTACATAAAGGATTTTTAATGCAATTTTTATCTTTGACATTATTAAAATACCTAAAAATATTTTAAGGACAGAAAAAAGGTTAAATATTTTAATTTTATTTTTCTGTACTTCTAACGTCAATATGTTTTTTCTTAATATATCATCTTGTCCATAGATAGTTAATTCCTTTATTAAACTGTAGAACAACAGTGTGATTTAGAGTGGGCATTAGCTGCAACTTCCAGATTGGCTTGCTGGGTTGTTAGGGGAGCTGATGACTCTCCCTTAATTTTCAAGAGATTACGTGATAATTTTAACAACTTCTTTCTCATACAAGTATTTAAAGTAATGTTGTCAGAACATGGGCGACACTATTCTGCCACATCACCTGGGAGACTTGGTGTCATACCAGGACAATATCTGTCTAAAATGATGTTATTGAACTTCTCTTTATTACCACAGATTTCATGCCTCAGAATGTATACTTCGTACAAAATTCAGATTCAATGGATGCTGTACTTGAAAATCTGTATTTTCTGGGAGCAGGGGTGCTTTTATTCTGATTCTCCTAAAACATTTAGATATTTGAAAACAAACAACCTTGTTTAACTCATAAACAGCCTTGAAAATAGTAAAAGCAGATACCAGCATACAGGCTCCTGTCAGCTCTGTCAAGAAAATCCTGATGTGATGTGGAATGAACTGGCTTTTTTCAAAAGGGAGCACAAAAAGCTGCTGATTGAGAAGTGAGTTTGTTTCTTAAATGGTGTTTGAGTAAGGAAACATACTGGGGTTTTTTCTGAAGGGCTTTACAGGCCGTACAAGAGGAATTCCTGGCAAAATTCCATTATAAAAACATCTACCAAAAGCAGAAAAGGAAAACATCAGCTCTTTTTTTTTTTTTTCTTGCTTCTCTCTCCCCCTTAAATCAGTGACAAGTTACAAGTTTGCTAGCACTAACAGAAACTGTATTCCATGATCTAGGGATTGTGTTAATTAATGTGGCTCTCATCTGTTGGAGGTGTCGCTCTTCATTAGCCTGTATTTTACACACTGCCGTGCTTCATTTTTGGAATGAGGTGGTGAGGGGATAACCTAGCCAGCCATCCTTGTTTGATCTCTGTGATACATACGCAATGCAGAATGCCTCAGCTCTCTTGGTTCCCTGCCCTGTCCTGCTAATCCCAGCTGAGCTCATTATGGTGTAGCCTTGCTGCTACTCCTGGAGCCAGAGCTGTCCAAGCTAATTACTGGTAGCAGCAGAGCTGCCTGTTAAGGGTCTGGTGTGGATCTGCTAACATGGTCCTTGGTAGTGACCTGCAGAAAGCACGAGGGAGTTGCTCTCTTTCTTGCTGTGCACAGCCTGTCCTTTGGGTTTAGTGCTGATCCCTTCACACAGCTCTTTCAGCTGTAGTAAGTGTAAAACTTGGTGAAGGAAACTCTTACTTTAGAAAACATACAGTTTGCTGCTTTGATCTCATAATTCATAGGCTATTACACTCAGCCAGGCAAAGTAAAAAAATGTCCTTTTATACTAGACAAAAGGAAGTTAGTATGGTATAATTAGCCCTTTGCTGTGATTTAACTCTTTCTGTAAGTGACTATGATTTTTTGTTTCATTTAAGAATCAAGACATCATAGAAAGTTTTATTCTGACTTTGTTTTTGTCAGCATTAAAAAAAATGCGTTTTCCCAATGGATCACAATGTAAGCCCATTTTGTGGCAATACCATGAAGGCTGCTATCACAGAATTTCAACAGCAGCAAATTGTTTTGTTCTATGTAAGTCCTTGTGTTGGCCATAATCTCCACTGGTGTATTATAGGCAATGTTGCCAGTAGCTGTGTTACATGTATTCTTATATCTGCTAGTTAAAATTGCATGCCTGTTCTTGTCACTTCATTGTCACCTCTTTTTTGCTGTTTGAAGCTATAACAACAAATTATCACCTGCAATTATTTTGTGAGTTTGCATTTTTTATTTAGGAAAGAACACTTTCTTGCCATGTATGTAATTGCATACATGTAATTCCCCTTCCATCACTAGTGAACACATTCACCACAGGCAATAGTAACTCAAGAGAATTACATAAGCCTCTTTTTTCACACTAAGCCATGCTTATATATTGTGCACATCCTGAAAGTTGGTACAGTTGGACTGCTTTTCTAGACTTCCTGTGCAGTCACATTTATGGGAACACCCTTATTTCTTGTATGTTGCAGATGATTGACCTTGACTAGACTGTGGTAAGGTGTCATAAGCGGACAGTTGAGCTCTTTAAGATACAGGATTTATAAGACAAAATGGATTCATGAAAGTCTGCATAGTAAGGATTTAGTAAGAAGCCAGTGCAGCACTGTGTTCATTAAGGTGAACTCCTTGTGTGGATTTAGGTGCTGTTTTTTCCTTATGGGCAATGTCACTTACTGTTGGTTGAAGTAAGGAAGAAATGAATGCGTAATTGTGGGGTTTATATCTGTTTCTAATAATGACAGTCTTTAATTTGTTGAAGGAAGTCACCATCTCAGGATTTCAGCTCATTTTCGTAAGAAAGTCAATACTAAATTTATTGTACTTTTTAGGTATGTGGATAGAGCTTCTTTATACTGCTTCTATTGTTTTTTAAGTTCTGTGGATAAAGGACATGATCTATGGAGTTGGACCAATTACTTATATGTGTAATGTTACGGGCAGTGTAAGTAAATCAGGTTAGCCCATAGCTTTTGTGAATGCACTTAGTTGGATAGAGCCTACTGATTGTTATCTTAGGTTGATGTAGACCATACATAAACCAAAACTAATGCACCATTTCTTAAAGAGTGTCTGGGTAGGGATTGTATTTTGGTTTAAGTAGTTTTAACATGGAATAGGTAAAATTTCTGTCTCTGACTAAACCAAAGAGTGTGTCTAGAAAATAGGATTATTTGTTGATGCTTGTTTATGTATTTAATCTGTAAGAAAGACTTTCTCTCCCATCTTCAAGGGATAGAGCAATGATGTAAAATGTCTTTAATATGCACATACATTAATCATGGTTTTAGCCCTCCACTGGACCCACTCCAGGGTCTCTATGACTCCCTTCTAGTGAGGAACCCAGAAATGGACACAGCAATCCAGATGTGGCCTCACCAATGCTGAGTAGAGAGGCAGGATCACCTTCCTCAACCTGCTGGCAATGCTCTTCCTAATGTGCCACCAGGACACACTGCTGGCTCATGGACAGCTTGTTGACCTGAAGGACTGACAGGTCCCACTCCACAGAACTGCTTCACTGCACATCCAGTTGCAACCTGATTGCAAGCTGGCTAATGAAATTATTTTGGCATTTCCATATCAAGAGCTAGAGAGCTGGAGTATAGGGATACCCTGTCCCTTTGGCCTTCATGTACAGACTTTGGAAACGTATGACTGGATATAAACTGTTACGGAATCTTTACAATTTTAGTTTTCATTCTGTATTATTTTTAGGCAACCTTGTAAAAGATATCAGCAACACTCAATTATTTGACAGTGAACATTCTTCAACATTAGACATGATGATGTAAGTTATCATTTTCCCAGCTAGCTGGAAAATCGTTGTCTGTTATGAGTGTTATGTAGTTGTGCATGCCATCCATTGTAGGAAGTGTGCTCTGGGTCTTCAAAGCATATGGAATCACTACAAGCTCAGTTGTATCCTTCCTCTGCTGTAGCAGCTATTTAGTGTTTCTGATAAGCTTTCTTTTTTTAGGAAAATAAGACCTCATGGTTTCTGCTTTCCTTATTCCTGTGGAATTAAAACAACTGTTGTGTACCTGGTGTAGTGGTATGTGACCAACTAGCTGACAGGAGCCTATCATAGTACCAGCAGCACCATGTGATGCCTCACCTTTTCTAGCTATCAGAATGGGTATAATGGAAAAAAGCTGAATTAAGTGTGCTGGAATGCCAGCAGTAAAAACCACAAACATAGGTTTTATTAGTTCCTTTGCTTCTTGAATGTGTGTTACCTCCCTGGTTCTTTAACTAGAGAATCTGCTGAAAAATGCGGTTTTGATAATCTTGACCGTCTCAAGCAAATAGGAGATGCCTGGTCATCAGAGACTTTTATTTTTAAACCTCCAGTTTTTTGTGAAACATCCAAATATCCCAGCCATTTTTTCTGTGTTTCACTCAATAGCTACAGCATGTAGCAGATTCATTTGTAGCATAGTGCATTCACACTACGTCATTGTTAAAAAGTGTCACCTACAGTATATAGCCCTTCTGACTTGTGTGTTTTCTCTGTAAAGTAATCTTTCTGGTTATCAGTTTTAGTTTTTTTTTCTGCTCTGCTGGGACAGAGCAGACATCTTGCTAATAATTACTTGAATCTAATAGGTCAAGGCTCTTGGTTACTTTTTTCTGCAGTTGGTAATTCTGTAGTTCAAAGGCATATATAGTTAAAATGATGGTGTGTATGTGTTTGTTTAGGTTGGGGTAGATAATAATCTGAAATACCAGCTTTAGTTCTGCTGAAAGCAATTCCAGCCTAAGTTCTGCAGCTGGTCTTGTGACTTTTCTGCGGGTTTTGACAAAGTGCATGCTTACTGACTGAACTGAGTATTGCTCAGTGAAAATGACAGTCAGGCTCAAGTGTGAGAATGAGAAATACTGCACTACAAATAAATTAAAATATAAGAAATAAGAAGCATTTGGTGTAATACAGAGTATAGTTTCTATAAGATATTTTTAAAGGACCAAAGTCAGAACTGTAAATGCCACATGAACTCATGTAGGGGCTTTTAATGAACATAATGAACAAAACAGCCCTTTTTTGAAGAAAATCAGGTTTTTTTCTAGCAAGCTTCCAGTTACATTTTCACCAAGCACTATGTCAACTGCTTTTCAGTGAGAGGGTTCTGTCAAGGATAATGAGATTGATGCTTTTTAATTGTTAAGCTTGTCTCTAGAACATTTCTTACCTGTGTCCACCACATCTTGTAATTTCCTGCATCCTAGCTAACAGACAAATTTGGGGACTTAGTGTGTTTTTTAATATCAGATGTGTTTGTGTTTTTCCTTTGCTCCTTCATATTTAATCAGACATGTCTTGTCTTGTACTTCGGTGCACTCTCATATATGATGGAATTGTGTGATGTTAAAAACATAAATTATGCTGCTAAACATTTTTTTTCATAATATAGAAGCAGATGAGGAATTAAAGTTGCATTAATGATAAAATTTGGACATTGTCAGGAACAAAAATAGCAGAGAGATGGTGGAGAAAGGTAAGGACTCTGTGCTAGCTTCCCTTTGTATTGTTGCTTGCACAGAGCTATTGCTTGTCTCGCTGTTGGATCAGAGTGATTTCTGTAGATTATTTGGTTTAGAAATGAATTGTTGTACAGGTGTAAGCATATTGCCTGCAGAAGAACTGTCTTTTTCTTATCCCTCTGTCTGGCCTAGACAAAAGGTCTTCAGCACTTAGATGGAAATACCTGATTTATTAGTCTTACAGATATGCATGCATGTATAAAAACAAAGAACTACTAAGTGTGTCATATGAAACTGTACAGAATGTTCATAGAAGAAGTCTATGAACCTACAGTCAGTAATACCAAAGCACAGAGATTGCTGCTAACATGTCAGATTGCTATTTTAAGAGAATAAGGAGTGAGTAATGAAAATAAGTTTCTCTGCAGTACCTTCTGTGAAGTGGGATTTCCAGTAAAGATAGCAGTGCTTTGTACATTCTGGCTAGATTCATTTAACATACAGTGATAAT